CCTGTTTCTTCTTAACGTGTCATTCATTTCTATGATCTAAATTACAAAACATAATTAAAATACTTATAAGAAAGTTCTTAAATATCAAGTAAGTTCAACATTAAAGATCATATTAAATTGCCAGTCATTACTTTGTCTTATTAAGCATCTGGATGCAAATCTTACCTAGAAAATTATATTTGAATATTTAAGTCCTTTATAAATAAAAACTATTTTCAGTTAAGGAACAATTAGCAACTTTAGGTTGGCTTCCAAAAGACCTCAGATACAAGCCCAGATTAAAATTATTATTATAGGACATGGTCCTCAATATCCATTAAAACTTAAAAATGTCTTTTGGACTCATCAATAACCAAGAATGATGCCAAAACTGATCTTCCTTAAAGCAAATTCTGCTCTGTACAAAAAGTGTTATAGTGATTTTCTGGTGCGTTTGATACTAAAACAGAAACTGATACGGCACCAGGCTAAACACTAAGAGAGCAGAGATTTTTAAACCCCATTAGATTGCAATGCTATTGACAGCGGTTTTCCTAGTTTGTGTGGAACACAAAAAAGATTAGAGGAAATCATACTGACTTCCTAGTAAAGAATGCAAAAGCAAATAAGCTTCTATCTAGTAATCTGCTATCATCATAAATTAGCCAAAGTGGAGGAGATACCTCTTTTCCACTTTATTTTCAGTCCCACCCTACACCCATGGAATCAGAAACCGTGGGCACACTGCCTAGTAATCAGTGTTTTACCAAGCTCCCAGGAGATTATGATGCATATTCAAATTTGATAACCACTGGGACAGGATTTTAAAAGCTAGAGAAAAGATCTTTACATTAACTTGTAGTGCTTTAAGGAGGAATAAAAAATGTGATCAAATCAAGTTAGCAGAGAAAACAACCTTAGGGGGCAATGGTGAGTCCAATGATGTGTTGCTAGTATTACTGAAAACAATGAAGAAGGCTTTGAAGACTAAAATTTTAAAGTTTCGGTGAGAGTAACCAAAACATCTAGAATCAAGTTAACTCTTGATTATTCATGTTTATGAAGGGAGAAAGTAATTGATAATCTCAAATCATTTTTTAATTTGGCTTTGCAGTAAAACTTGATTTCTTTTTTCAGTACTTACCTTTGTTTTGTTTATGATAATATGAACATTTAGAATGAAACCAGCAGAGTACTAGATTAGCTGTGTGCACACTGGTGAATCATTTAATCACTCGAGGTTTCTTTTTCTCATCTGTAAAATTGGTTGGGTCACCCCAAGATTCTTTTTAGCCACTATGAATCCATGAACACCGGCTTGCCCGAAATGCCCCAACAAGTCTAGTTCATTTAAACATTTTAATATCATTACTGGTATTTTAATTTCACTAGCAATGTCAGTTAAGTTGGTCATCAACATTTGTGTGCCCCGTATGATTATTTCCTTTACATTAAGTACTGTAAAGAGTTAAATATATTTTTGGTTTTCAGTGTAGACCCCAGTTTATACAGCAGCTCCTGCTTCCCCCTTTCGCCTCACCAAAAAAACTGGAGGAAGCTTGCAAAAATATAATGAAAATAAAAGTAAACAGATGAGTTAAGTGGTTGGATCAGGGGAAAAAATGAGTTAATGGTAATTTACATTATGCGTTAAGAAATGTGGGCTGTGGTGGGATGAATCGCAATTCTCGCAAACTGAGCCACAAAATCTGGATAAAATCACAGAGAATCAAATAGCCAGTGAAAGTAATAAAAGTCTGTCCATCTGAATGCAGGCCTAACATTTTTCATGTTAAATATTTAAAACCTCATAAGCCCGGCTGGATCATAAATGGCTACCTTCCCGGCAAAACGTCCATCCGAGAGGTCTGCAGGCCTCACTTCCCTATGGCTTTGGCGTCAGCCCTGTGGCTACAGCTCAGTCTAGGATCCTAAGCAACACCCCTAGGTCTCAAGAGGCACTTTGAGGGATTAACAGTTTGGGAGTCCACCTCCTCCCCTGCCAGCGCCTCTAACGGCCCAGCCTAAAGAGGAGGAAAATGGGTAACTTGGGGTGAAGCTTTCCTTTCTCTTCAGGTCTCCTCGCCTCGCCCTTAACCCCCCGAGTTGGCCTGCTATCCCGCAGCTGCCGTTACCTCCTTCCTGGGAGCCACGGCTTCTCCATCGCCACGGCCGCTCAGGCCATTTTTGTCCCGGGGTGGTGCTGGGACAGCCGAAAAGGGCTCGTGCGGGGCAGGGAGGGCAGGGAGGGCGGCGTGGGCCCCGCGTGTGGCTCCCGCGCCAACCTCCTGCGCCAGGGCAGCCTGTGGGGTGACGCTAGGTCCTCAAGCGAACCTGAACCTGACCCTCTTCTGGAAAAAGCTGCCAACTCACTCCCTCTGCTGATTCCCTTAGAAAAACGTTGCTGCCCGGCTGATTTACTCAAAAAAGCACTTGCCAAAGTGTCACCAAGTGTTTTATCCACCCCCTCCTCCCACCTACACTTTGTTGACCCAAATAACTCCTTAGGGCCTGTTTCTCATGGCAGGCAGCATAATGGCGAGTTAGGAACACCAGCTCTGGGATTAGACTCAATAGGATCTGCAATTCTAAATTTTTGGTGATGATTAAATGAGATCATACAAGCTAAGTGCTTAGCCTATCTAGCAAATAGGTGGTAAATACTGCTGCCATTACTACCAACCGGATTTGGCAGAATTCAGCACTGGCAAGAAAAAAACAAATGAGTTTCTCTACAAGACCAATACAGATTATATTAGGCAAATAAATGAGTCCACAATTTTGCTTAGGGCTGATGTAAACACATGATGCAATTTGCATCATCCTCTATATCTCTGTAAGCTCTTGCCTTAATTGACCCAATTAGAAAGGTTTCCCAGAGAGGGGCCCCACATTTATAAAAGGGGTAATAGGAGGTAGGGGAGCAGTTATTTTTGTAAACACCAGACCAGCCTTATCTGGCCATACTGTTGATAACAGAATGTCCAGTTATTTTGCAGGCAGAGCTAAGAAGTTGCAAGTTATGCTGCCAGAGCATGTGCAGGAAAGTTTGACCTCAAATAATAACACCTGGAACTGAAGTTTTGCCCACTCCCCTCTAACTAAAAATGGGACATGGCTGGAACCGAGCAACAGAATACTTTCAAAAGCGATGGGTCCATTGTCTAGGAATGTCTGGTGATAAGACTCCTCCCCATGCCTTATAATAAAGTCTTGAAGTTCTTCCAGGCAAAAGCTGCTCTGCCAACTCTTCCATATAACCTGTCCTCCCTAACCCATAAAGCTTGCCCCAAACCCCAAACTAGGGAGACAGATCTGGGTTTGTCTCTGTTTCCAGGAGACAGAGTGCCTCCTGTCTCCTTGCTGGTTGACTCTCTGTAAAGCTTTTCTTTTCCCAAAACCTGGTGCCACAGTATTGGCTTCTATGTGCACAAGACAACAAGCTCATTGCTTGGTAACATCTTGGTTCCTGGGAAACAGAATGATGTTGGCAGTAGAAGCCAGGCTACAGGAAGAATTCCAGGTATCACAACTGGTACCTCTTAACACAAGGGTCTTATCAATTTAAAGAGGATCTTCGAGAATTACTGGAGATTGTGTGTGGAGACACTGTATCCAGAGCAACATATCTTACTTTACACAACAAACAGATTCAGTAAAAATCATGTTTCAGCTGGGTGCAGTGGCATGGGCCTCTAATCCCAGCTACTTGGGAGGCTGAGGGGAGAGGATCCCAAGAGCCCAGGAGTTCAAATCCAGTCTGGGCAACATAGTAAGTAAGACCCTGTTTCAAAAGAAAGAAAATCATGTTTCAACTTTTGTAAATTAAATATTTTGGTACATTGTGGGACCTGGTTTTTTAAGGGGCACATGTACAATAATCTTCACCTAAATTTTCTGTTAAAAGTCTAGTTTTCCCCACATTCTCTGTCAAAATTTGACCCCAAAGTCCAATAATTACTATGTAAGAGACAGCAACATCTAAGCTGTTACCCCCAGCATGGAGGTACAATGGCAAGATTTCTGAGGTTATGTTCTTTCTTTCTTTCTTTCTCTTAACTTCATGTTTTCACTTTCTCTCAGTCTCTGCATCCTACTTTAAACAAGATTGACAATATTTGTCTGATATGCTAGTCTGTGTGACATGTGACTTCTCCCTGCACAGGGCTGACCTAGTAAATTTACCACCCAAGAATATTACCTATCTTCCAATTTGGAGTCTACAACTAATAATTGTGAAGGCTGATTCTTGAGAATTAAATGAATTAATAGTCTATTAGTTTATTTAAGTTTTCTACAATTTTTGAAACATTTTAATATACAAATAAGCCAGTGAATCCTCATTTATAAAATGACCATTTGACATATGATAATACAAAGATTGTTTAAAAATTGACTCATTGTTTTGTGACCAAATCAATTTCAACAGTAACTAATCTTCTTAAACATAATCATGTAGTTTCTGGAAGATGGGTTAAATGATGAAAAAATGGGCGACCATGAACACACCCTTTAATTTCATTTCCAAATTGGTGCTTCATTCTGTAGATAATGTCTTGGATGTCCTCTTTTGATAAGTGCATGGGTAACTGTCTAGACAGACGCACTGCTTCTCCCTGTGAAGGGAAAGTCATACGTGTTACTGTGATATACCCTGAAGCAGAAAACATGTTATCCTGGCAAGAGGACAGAAAATTCATTATACTCATCTTATTAATTCACTCAACAAATATTTATTAAGCACCAACTATTTTGCAGGTTCTAAGGATAAGGTGGTGAACAAGAAAACAAGACCTTCGGCTCTTATAAAATTTGCATTCTAGTGCAGAGAAACAGAAAATAGATAAAAAGACAAAGAATTTTTTTTGTGAATAAATAATGCACAAAATTAAACTGGGCAGCATGATACAGTGATTGTGTGGTTGGAAAAAGCTTACTTGAGATGGCTTTAAGCTTCTTTTTAAATAAAGAACCATAATGCAAAGATCATGGGGAAAGAAAAGTATTTCAGGCAGAGAGAACAGAAAGAATCAAATGTTCAGTGTGGGTGCAACTGTTAAAGAGAAGAGAGAAACAAGATAAGGGAGTTAGGCAGGGGCCAGATCATCCTCTAGATAGGGTGAGCAATTGGGGTTTAATCTGCACAGGCAAGTAACCAGAGTTTTTAAGCAAAAGCCTGACATTTGTTTCACATTTTAAAACAATCAGTTTGCTGTGTGAAGTATGGTTTGAGGCAAGCGGGTCAAGAAGAAAAGCAAGGAATCTTGTAGGCAACCATTGCAGTCCTGGTCAGAAGCTTTGACTAGAGTGATAGTAGCTGAGATGGAGGGAGGTATGAAGATTCCTGATATGATATAGAGTCAAGAAGACTTCGTGATGGATTGAATTGGTTATGAGGAATGAAGAATCAAGGATAATGTCCATATTTTTCGTATGGTAATGCTGTTTTCTGAGACAGGGAGAACTCAGGTTTTGGAGATAGTAGTGCTAGCAAAACTGGCTTCTTTTAAGATTTTTTTTTTTTTAAATTGTTGTACTTCAAAGATCTTGAATCCTAACATTATTCTCTTTAACCACACACCCATTTTCTTTCCAACCATCCTACTCCTTTATTCCAACTAAGCCTGTTTTTTTTCTTTACTTTGACCTTTTCTCTCTCTAATCCCTTCTTAATCTCCTGACCCACAAGCACCCTTCTGTCATTTTTCCCTGGTTAAGGTGGGAATAGTGAATGTGACATTAAGGATACTAGCTTTAGCAACCTGCCTTTTAGATTCCTACTAGAATCTAATTTATCTTTCCATCTCTGTAGGATCTAACACGGTTTCTTATAGATAATGTGTTCAAACTTCCCTCACTTACCTTCCTCTTGTTCTTCCACCATATCTGGTTTGCTAATCCCTACCCTTGGACAGATTCTACTGAGCCCTACTGAAGAGTTGGGAAACTATCCTAGCTGGATCCAATAGAAATGTTAGCTCTTTTGAGCCCTCAATGACACCTGGAAATCATCTTAATCCTCTCTAATCAACCTTCTCTTACAGTTCCTACAGCTCTTAATTTCAGATCTTTGTTACTGCAGTCAAATTCCCAATGCCTTCCCAGCCTTGTCACTCTCAGCACAACTCCCACTGTTTCACCACATATATCAAGAAATGATTTCTCTCAAGTTTACCTTAAAATATTACTTTTACTTTTCTTCCCCTCTTCTGCTCTTGATTCAGAGAAAATTTCTCCTTTCTAAAACTTACATCCTTATCCCATCTTCCCTCTTGCCTTTTTTGGAACATTTGCTCTGCAGTCTTTCATTGTCAGTCTTTTCCATCAATTCAACACAAACGTGCTAAACATACTCTTTCTTTTCTTTCACTACCATGTGACTTGCTGCCTACTTTTTCACCACTACTGCACTCTTTAACCATTGGCAAATGTCTTCCATCCCTACTACAGTTAACCCTTGAACACAGGTTTTACTGCACTTAAACAGCACTCCCCAACCTTTCTGGCACCAGGGACCAGTTTCATGGAAGACAACGTTTCCACAGATGGGGGGTGGGGGAGGAAGGGGAATGGTTTTGGGATGATTTAAGCGCATTACATTAATTGTATACTCAAACCTCTCTGCTAATGATAATCTGTATTTGCAGCTGCTCCCCAGCACTAGGGTCACCGCCTCAGCTCCACCTCGGATCATCAGGGATTAGATTCTCGTAAGGAGCACACAACCTAGATCCCTTGAATGCGCAGTTTACAGTAGGGTTCACGCTCCTATGAGAATCTAATGCTTATGTGGTGATGTAAGTGATGGGGAGCAGCTGCAAATACAGATGAAGGTTCGCTCGCTCGCCGCTCACCTCCTGCTGTGTGGTCGGTTCCTAACAGGCCATGGACCAGTACTGGTCTGAGGCCCAGGGGCTGGCCACTGCAGCACTCATACGTAGACTTTTTTCAGCCAATTCTGATTGAAAATACAGTATCATGGGATGTGAAACCCACATAACATGGAGAGCTGACTTTTCGTATGTTTGGGTTCCACAGGGCCAACTGCAGGACTTCAGCATTTGATCCTGGAACCAATCCCCCAAGTATATACCAAGGGACACCTGCGCTATGCCATTATGGCTCTCTCTTCCACTGCCATCTAGCTGCCATACCTGATAGTCTTCTAGCAACTATTACCCCATACAGAATGTGATATTACTTATTTTTAAATTTCTTTTCTTTCCTGACTTTTCTTTCCTTTTCTTGACTTTTATATCTACCCTTCTCTTGGTTCTCCTTTCACTCTCCTTTCTCTTATTCATTTTATTCAGCTTGGTCTTAAATGGAAGCGAGCATCCCTGTGGTTCTGATACAGGTTCTCTCCTTTTTCTAGACCATTTTCCTTAACAATCACATCTACTATTACCTTAATATAAAGAGAGGGGCAGTTTTGGCAAAGAAAAAAGCAAATTTAAAGCCAGTCCCAACCACTTTTTTATGTTATTTCTGAAATTTTATTTCTTCCCACATGGTTCTTCAGTACACAAAATACTACCTACAACGCCCTTGACCTTTACTTAACTTCATGCTAACTCCTTTAAAGTCTCTAGAAACTATCAGTATTGGGTTGCCCCCACAATAGGCTGAGAATTTCCATACAACAAAGCTCCTGAAAGATTCACAGAACACTACTGAATACATTCTTCAGAAGGGGTAACAAATGAACTTTCCTATTAAGGAAGTCTGACCTTCAGAATACAACGGACATACCATGTATTGTAAACAAAAAAGGCTCTTTTTATAAAAAGGACTATTAGAGTTCAGGTTTATTTTTAAAACGGTATCAGACAACTTTGAGGGATATATAGAACCACAAATACAGAGGCAATCACTATTGTTTTCTTGCCACTAACCTATACTCAGACATTTTAAAGTTTATAATCTTTCTCAATCCTTTTATTATTTTTAAATTTATTCTTTTAAATCACTGTTACATTTCTCATTTGTGGTGAATATTGTTAAGAAAACAAAATTTCCATTTATTCAATGATTTAGGTCTTTCCCTTTCCCTCTCTTGTTCTGCTCTTGAAGAGATCAGGGCTTAGAATCATACTACAATTCTTTTTAGACAAGTAGATGGCATAAAAATGGAACAATTTTGAATCCCTTCTAAGGGGGATTATGTATAGAAATTAAAAAAAAAAAAACTTCATCAAAAATGTTCATCCATAAAGCTCTTCCTGAATATGAAATAATGTTATGGTAAGAATCCAGATAGAGTTTACCAAAACCAGTCTATATGTGAAACTTTTAATGGTCTTTTCTTTTTTTAATAGTGTTCCTTCTTGCAAACAAATAATAAAACCTCATAAAAACTGTTTTACTATTTTGAAACCACTTACTATTTTTTTAAGAAACAAATATCTTAAAATCTAGCCAATTTACATAAATTAATAATGCATACCTCTAAATAACTTATCACTTTTCGAGGTCTACATTCAAAAACTTCTTTTGCATTTTTGTTTAATATAGCATCAAGAATTTCTTTTAAGTCCATTACTCCATAGAATGGGAGACAGTTAGCCATTCCTTCTATTTCCAAGTAGTTTTCAGTAATGGAAACTCCTGAAATAAAAAATAAAAACATAGTTTAGTATAAATTATATTCCAGAACATGTCCATTAAAAACAAAATCACTGTTAAAGCATTTAGTGAACCTTCATTAGAATTTAATACAGTCAGGACAGAGTTTTGTTCCTTAGCTGGAGAACAAATAGTAATCTCCCATAGGGTTTCACATTACGTCATAAGTGCTCATTGACACCACATGTGCTTTATACAATTTCATTTAATCTCAGTTAGTGCTGTTCTGCTCCTTACATTTGTTTAGAACATTTCTTACTTTGGAGAGAAAATGGAGTCCCATGATATTTATTAAAATATAACTGGTTTAAGTGTTTTAACAACTGCTGCTCTTCAAATTCTATCTTACTGTTTTAATACCTAATTTAAAGCCTGAATTATTTCTGTGATGATTTTAACTTACAAATTACAAAAATAGTCACAGAGTAGGTTATTAATATATTCCTAATTTGAGGAAATAAAATACTAATGTTTGTTCAAAATATTTTACTAGGACAATTTTAAAAAAACTGACATTTATTAAACTACTTTTAATAATTTAATAATTAAAATAAAACTAAAAACTAGCTACAGAATTGGATATATAACTGGGTACATAATCCATAACAGCATATATTTTAAAGCATCAGATCTGGCTTCAAAATACATGATTTTGGAAAACAGCACAGATTTGTCTTCTTTGGCTGTATCTGTGTAACAGTGTTATTAGTACTTAAGTCCACATAATTCTACCTAGAAGAAAGAGAGATGATACAATTTTGGATAAGTAGTAGCTATCAGTGGATTAATTAAAAAAATGTGATGCAACTTGAAGAGTTTCAGATCCTGAGACTTCAATAATCCAATCTCTTACCTGATCCCAGTTACACACTAGTTCCTTTAGCTAGAAGGCAGATGCAATGGTGGTAGACTACAGAGCAGATATCCTAACGTTTTCCCCAGGAAACAACTGGAGAATATTATATGATGACATATCATCAAGCATTAAGGGATGAGATACAGAATTCAATGAAGGGAGATGAAATCAGTTTGAGCAACAGGGGGAGCTTACATGGGACTCAAAACAGTGTATGTAGACAGGCAAAGAGGAAGTAGCAGGCTATTCTAGTTCACAACTCTTACATATTTATATACATAATAAATTTCCAAAAATATCAGTCTAAGAGACTTTTCACTATTACTAGTTCTAAATCTTCTATGATATGATTAGATTGAAAAGTCTAATACTAGCTACATTTGCCCTGGAAAATTATACACATTTCACAGAATTACTAGTGGAAATGGGCAAAAAGTATTTGGCAACAAATAAGGAAATTGAGCAATATTTTAATCTGTTTGCAAAATTCAAATATGGAAAAATTAGAGACATCATGAACTATGTAACAATAAACTTTCAAAAAGTTTCCATAAAATTCTGTAAAATGTTTCTCAATTTTCAGAGAAACTACATCAATGAATAAATGGTTTGAGAAGTTTTCACCCCCTAAAACATGAAATTCTTATTGAAGCAGGACAGAAAGCTATTTGCATTAAAAAACAAAGTTCTTAGGGTCACACTGAGAATCTTTTTGCTCAAGGCCAGATGTATTCCTTCTCTCTTTCAAATACTTTTATCCTTATCCAAAAATGTTTTGTGACAACTGGCAAAGTTAGTACTATACAACAATATTCTCACTAAAAGAGAGAGAATGGAACTTAATTAAAAAACGAAAAGACAAAAAATGAAGAAGGAAAACATAAATGTCTTTAACTTGATCTACTATTGACAAGGGAAATAATACTGATGATAATCTCAGTAAAGTTAATTCCAATCAAATCAAGTCAGTTTGTAGATGATTGTTTTAATCATTTTTGTATCTTTGGTGTCATGCAAAGTATTAGGCATTCAATAAGATTTAAAAAGTACTATCTACAAGCTAAGAGCTGAAAGCATTTGTCAGACATAACCTTACTGGGTAGCTCAAAAATAAACATGTTCTTGGAACAGACAAGACAGTTATCCTGATTGTTAAAAAAAAAAAAAAAAAAAAAACTGCTATGATAACATCTTTCATGAAGAAAATGGCACCTGCCACTACCACTACCTAACTAGAAAAACAGATTAAGTCAAGAATAAAATACCTTCTACACACGTGCACACGCACACTTTGCTTCACACTTCAAATAAATTCAAAAAGATGCCAGGGACCCTGAGGAAGAAAGATTTCTAGGACTAAAAGAAATGACTGCAAGTCAGTTTAGGTCCTAAAGTGGGGGCTGGAGGATGGGAAGAAAAGAGAATATTTGAGCATCCACCATTGCCAAATACTATGTTCACTGATATATTTGTTACCTTGGTTACTGCTCACAACTACTTCGTGAAGTAAATATCCCAATTTTAATAGGAAGGCAAATGTAACAAATTAGTTAAGAGCTATAGGCACTAAAGGCAGATTGCCTAGGTTCAAATCCTGCTTCTACCACAAACTGTGTCCTCTTGAGTAAACGTAACCTTTTGGACCTTGATTTTTTCATCTGTAAAATGGGGACAGTCATAGAACCTGTAGGGGTATTAGGGAGATTAAATTAATACATTTAATACTAAAAATAGTGCTCTGTGCACAATATTCAATAATTATTAGCTGTTTTCGATGAGGAAACAGGCCGACTGACTTTCCCTAAAACACAACATTTTTAAATGGCAGTGTTGAGATTTGGACTCTCTCTAGCTCAAGTCTAAATATCTGGAATTGAGGTGGAAGGTAAAAAGTTCAGTGTATCCTTAAAACTTCAAAAATCAAGTAAAATTAGTTTAAGTTTAGTACACCAAAGCATGCTTTTGTACATTGTTTTCTTTTCATGTCTCGGTAAAACATTCCTTTAAAAATCTTCAAATGCTGTTTGGATAAACTCTGTTTTTCTATACTTGGAGCATGAGAAGCTTAGAGGCAGGTGGTGGAACAGTGGAGTCCTTCCTCATGGTGCCACTGTGCCCCTTTGACAACAGAGGAAGCTAAGACAGAATGCAGTTTAGTAAGGAAACTACAAAAGAAGAAAGAGGGAATAGCCAGGAAAACTGAAGTCTCCTAGCCAGATGGATTTTCTTTTTATTCTACTCACCCAATGAATTTCCACACTAAGTAAAGAGGGTTATCAGTCTTTTAGCAGAGCCATGGAATCAAATTATTCATTCTCCAAATAGTAAGACTGCTGAGGTTATGTGTCTACTTTGGCAAAACAAGTAAATGCTTTTAAAAAAGGAAAGATGTCCACTTCTGTTAGGCCATTCCAGTATCCCACATATTTATTTCTGTTTAATCATCTAAAGTACTTTAATAATTTAAACAAAGCAGGCAGTTTGACTATTGTGTCAAAGGATGATAAAAATTATGTACCTGTTTAGTTATGAAAATTGCAAATGCAAGGCATTGGGCCAAATTTGCTTGTTTCAGGCAGAGGGGATCTTTTTGAAATAAGTCTATTTTTTATATAGCCAACATTGTATTTGTAGTGAGACAAAAATATACCATGACATCTGTAAATTATGAAACCCAACTATAACTTTGGAACAAGACTTGTTTTTCCAATTCAGAAAATATTAAACCACATTATCATACCTGGTATCAATTTTATCTTGAAACCATTTGCTGTAAGACGAGGATCAGACAGGTAGGCTGATTCACTGTATCTCTGGTCATCTGCTGTCATTTTATGTAAAATCTCTAAATAATGAGATCCATTTAAAAGACTGAAAAAAGAAATTATGGCCCTTTAACTTACTAAATATGCAAAATGAAGTAAGAGGATTTATGAAAAAAAGTTAACTTAAGGGCTTTTTTGGGGGGAGCAGAGGGTAATTAGGGGACAGGGTCTCACTCTGTTGCCCAGGATAGAATGCAGTGGCATCATTATAGCTTACTACAACCTCAAACTCCTGGGCTCAAATGATCCTCCTGCCTTGGCCTCCCAAAGTGCTGGGATTACAGGTGTGAGCAACTGCGCCCAGTTTCTAAGGGACCTTTTTAAAGTGTTATAATCATTAACCGACACATGAAGGTCTAAGGAGCCCTGTGAGAAACTACTTTTTTACATTTCTGTTAATATTTTATTAGAGACCTACTGCATATAGTATATTAACAGGAGGAATAGAAATAAAAAATAATTTCTATCTTCTAGAAGGTTACAAACTCAACATGAAATAAATGGCTCTCTCTAAATGTAATGCAAATGAAAACTATAAATAATGCCATTTTATACCTTTAAAACATACACAATAACACACTATTGAGTTACTCAAGTGGTCCACCCTGCTGAATTTTCAACTACTATTCAAGGTTTTTTCAATAACAAAAAGATAGATATGTATCTTTTTCTCCCAGGAAGTTATACATTAATCAATTTAGAGCTTGGGAAAGCTTCCTTCAGTCTACTGTAGGCATGGCATCTTTGTCAAAGGTGGCACATAAAATGATTCTGAGTGGTGCGAAATTTTGAGGAAGCCAAAGACTGCCTACAAATCAACCTTTTAGTCTTTGTCAAGGTGCCATATAACAAAACAGTCATTGTAAAAAGGTGTCTGTTGGGACTGTCATGTGAATGGTTACCATTTTTCCATTTATTCAACGAATATTTGGGTGCCTACCACACAACAGATATTGTCTGAGGTACACAAGACATTGTTCTATGTTTCAATACAGGATGCTATGCTATTTTATCACAATCCTTTACACCTTGAAAAGTAAATGAATAGATAGTATCTTTGCTTATCAGTTCTAAACGGCTGAAGACCCCACTGGCTGTGAGAGCCCAGGTTTCAGAGAAGACAGCTTTGCCTATATATCCAACATGCAATGTCTTGCCTAACCAACATTCTGAAAATCAATCTGAGAGCTGGTGGTAGAGGTGGTGGTGATGATGATAATGATATAGTATACCAATTAATGGTGTAGGCTCCACAGTTAAATTGTCTGGATTGTAATCTGAGACCCACTGCCTATTTACTGGCTGTGGGAGCCTAAGTAAATTACTTAACCATTCTGTGTTTCAGTTTCAGCTATAAAATGTGGATGATATCTGCCTCATAAGATTGCTGTGAAGATCACAAAAAAAACTTAGCAAAGTTCCTATCAAGTAGTAAATGCTCACTAAACATTAGCCATTGTTATTTTTATTATTAATGAGCCCTTCCTTTTTATTTTGTAGATAACTAAATTACTCTATTCAGAGGTAAGCTACACAAACAGAATTCTGGTGAGAAAACTGAGCCCAACCTATAATTACTCTGTCAACACTGTGGGATAATTATTCTATGACTCAGTTTTGAAAAACTTACATCATTAACTGTGATGGGGATGCCACATTTCAAAAGAAGAGGGAAAACAATTTTGAATTAAATTTTCTTCATTTATACTCAAAAGATTTATTTTCAGGCTAGCATGGACCCAAAATAATCCTTTTTATGTATTTGTTTTTGAATAACACATAGAAAAATATTTGTTTAAGTCTATAATTTGGACAAACACAAAAAGATTTTTGAAATTTAAATGAAAGTTTACAAATTCAGAAAAGCAATCAAGTCTAAAAATTCAGATGTGTCCCAGCTATATTTGAGGGAAGAAAGAGAACATATTATCAGGCTTTTAAACTGTTTTAATATAGTCAAAGGCATTGTTTTCTAATTCTGCCTCTGACAGTTTCCTAAGCCAATCTTAAGAGAATACTACAAAAGATCCTGGATTTTAGTTAATGTGATTGCTGTTGCCTTATTTATAAGACAGATTTAACAGATTTTTTTTGTGGTCTGGTTCTATTTTTTTTCCTTCTGGTGGCACTGTATTTAACAAGAGTTTTAGCACATTTGATAAACAATTTCTGCTTTATTCTTGAAAATTCTGAAACAGTTATCTTATGATGTGTCCTAGAGTATAAATTTTTAATTTTTTAAATTTCAGGTTTTTATCTCCTTTGTCATATGATGCTCTTCTACCCATGTCAGACTAAAAAAGAAGTATAAAAAAGGGAAATGTTAATAGGTTAGTCATTAGTTATTTTTACAGAAAGTAATTTGCTCATATAGGATAGGGAAAGGAAATACCCCATTTTACAACCAATAATAAAATTATTTCAGGCAACAATAATCAATGAATGTTTGAAACCATTAGATGGAAAGGCTGAAAGGGGAACTTTAAGGTGGAAAATCAGGCTGTCATAGTTGAACCTGGTGATAGATGCCTTTTGATGTGATGAAATATGAAGTACACAAGCCCATCTATTAAACAGTCTTACCAGAGAGTAAAATCCAGTATCTATTCAATCCTCCTGAGCTAACTTCCAATTAAACATGGGAGAGAGAAAAACTAGTTAAACACCACCACAAGAAAGCAAATAGACAAATATACACAATGGAACACTCCACCGAACAAGAGATTCGGTATCTACAGTAACTCAATAGTGTGCTTCTAAGAGACATAACCAAATGTAATCTGTGGATCATGTTTAGCTATAAATTAAATTTAAAAATTAGTAAAAAAGAAAAAAAAGGACATTTTGAGACAATGAGGAACAATTCCACAGAATCATTATTGTGTAAGGTATAATATAAGAAAGGCACTGCAGTTAGGTACGAAAATAGCCATTTCTGAAATAGAGAAATACTGAAAGCTGTAGGAGGGGGAATTGTTACTACTTAAGAAAATAGTGTGTATATACTGTATATAAAAGGACACATAAAGTCAATGTGGCAAAATCTTGATAACTGTTGATAAAGGTATGTTCACTGTTATAATTCTATTTTGGTTTGTGTTTGAAATATTAAAACAAAGGGTGCACAACAGAAGAAAGTCATGGCAATCTAACTTTGAAATGAGGCAAGTCACTAATCTTCAGGAGACAGCTTGATATTTATTAAATGCAGAAATGAACTATCTAGAATATTCTAAAATTATTTATAAACAATTCCATTAAAGATTAGAAATCAAATTTTAAAAAGATTTCTTTAAATACCACTTATCCCTACTAGGAAATACTTCCAACTTTTTACCTTAAATTTCTAAACTAGTATGAATTAATAAATGTTTTTAGAGTTTAAAAAATTGTATTACTTCATCATACCTCTCTGTTAATATAATTGGCTTTTCCAGTGGCTCCGCAGGAATTTTATGATTCTCAAGAAGTCTTTTAAATAGCAGGGCTTCTTCTACTCTATACGGATTTAATAACATTACCTCTGTTTTGGATGTAATTAGCCATGCATCAGGAAACCTGAGATTGTGGATCAAGCAAAGCTCATCTTTCTCTTCTAGGTCAAATTTCTTTTGTTTCTGAAAATTTATTTTTAAGTTTTTCATAGAAAAGGGGATCTGTACAATTTTAATATTTTGACTTTTTTTTTCAATTTGGGACTGAAAAAGCTCATCAAGTTTTGGCTGATTAGATAATGAGGTTTTCAACTTGTGCTTCTGTGCCAAATTCCATGAGCTGGGTTTTATCTTTTTTCTGCCATCTTTAAATGATATTTGTGACTCTTGTTCAATGGCTCTCTTCATTTGACCATTGTATCGTTCCAAGTCTTTAGCAGCCTTCTCTTCATACCTAAGAATAGAGATAAAATAGAGCTAATGAGGTCATAATAAGAAATATATTAACCATCTGCAGTAAATTTTATAAAAAATAAAGAGCTGGCATTCCAGGTCTAGCAATGACACAGAAACATGTAATGAACTAACACTCCTGCATATAACTACGATAAACTCTGAACAAAGTATAAAAATCAACTATTTAAAATAGGCATCATAGAACAGCCAACAGCAGGCAGAAATTGCAATGGATTCAACCCTAAAAAAAAGAGATCCACATTTATACAGCTTTTACCCAGAGGGTAGTCCCCAGCATTAAAGGGGAGAGGGTGGCCAAAACTCAATCAGAAAGTTGCAGTCTTATTAGCCTGAGTCATCAGAACACAGAGCTACTTGCTTCCAGAACAACCGGAAAGAAAGAAAATCCCAGAAAATCCCATGTGTGGGAGTCCAGAGGAAAACAACCATTACAAGGCCAAATGAGCTGAACAGAGATTTCAGCTGCGGCTCATTGCAGAGGAAAAAGAGTATGGAGTTTGAATTCTACAAAGTTTCATGGTTTGGTAAGCACTTTGGGCTTTCAATTAAAAGTGGAGGAGGGCAACATCTTAGGGTAAAAAAAAATATGCCCTACAACTAAGGAAGTTGCCCTAAGACTAAGGACAAAATTGGAACGGTCTCTCCCTAACAAAGTATAAAATAAAGCCTCCACAAGCTCAAGGTTATTTGTTAGTGATTTAAATGCCTGGTAGAACAAAAATCAACACTTCTCAGAAGAAGATAACAGAATCCAGAGTTTTAAATACATCATCTGCAATGCCCATTATACAATCAACAGTTACCACTCAAGCAGGAAAATATGAGTCATGGTCAACAGAAAAAGTGGTCAGCAGAAGCCAACCTCAAGATGACCCAAATGTTAGAATTAGCTAAAAGAAATTTAAAATAGGTTTCTATAAACGTTTAAGGTCATAAAAGATGATTATGATGAAAGAAAAGGGGGAATCTCAATAGAGAAATGGAAATTATAAAAAAGAATGAAATGGAAGTGGAAATTTAGAACTAAAAAATACAATGAATATTTCCAAATATTCACTGGATAGGCTTAACAGCAGATCAGATGGCAAAAGAGTCAGTAAAGTTGAAGACGGATCAACAGAAAAGTGACTGAAGAAGACTGAAAAAGCACCTCAGGCTAAAGAATCCAAAATTTGATTATATTCTGCAAAAATGTCCTTCAAAATGAGGATGAAATAGACATTTTCAGATAAAAGATGAGAATTTGTTGCCAGTATATGTACACTATTAAGGAATGACATCAAATATAAGTGGAATTATACTTACAAGGTTTTTATACTTTATGCAAGATGGTACACTATCACACTAAGTAGCCTATGATAAATTAAGAATTTATCATACTGTAATCACTAAAGCAAAAAATAATGAGAAGCCAATAGAGGAATTAAAATGAGACATTAAAACATATTCTTTTAACCCTTAAGGCCTCCTCTCCCCCTCAAAGGGAGGTACAGAAAAACAAAATAGAGATGGACTAATAGAAAACAAATAGGAAAATTGCAGACCCAAACCCAACCATATCAATTATTATATTACATGGACTAAGTATTCCAACTGAAAAGCAAAGATGGTCAGAATGAACTTAAAAAGTAACAACCAAGTTTATGTGTAAGAGTTACACTTTAAATATAAAGACATAGATAGTGTAAGAGTAAAAGAATGAAAGAAGATACATCACGCAATTAGTAAGCATAAGAAAGCCAGAGTGGCTACAGTAACATGAACTACATTTCAAGACAAAAATATTGGAGAGAGAGAGGAACATTCCATAATGATAAACAGGCCTAATAATCACCAATGTGTAGGTACCATATTAACAAAGCTTCGAATTACATGAAGCAAAAGCTTATAGATCTAAAAGTAGAAATAAATCCAGAATCATAGTTAGAGATTTCAAAATCCCTCCCTCAGTAACTGACAGAACGAGACAAAAAAAAAAAAAAAAAATCAGTAAAGCTACTGATGATTTTAGCAACACTACCAACTACTCCTACTTAATTGACATTTTAGAACACTACCATCTAGCAACTGCAAAATCCTGATTCTTTTTAAGTGAACAGGAAACATTTGTCAAGATAGACCATATGCCGTGTCTTAATTCTCAACACATTTCTAAAGATTGAAATCTAACTTAGTATTTTCTCTATCCATGACAAAATTAAATTAGAAATAATACAGACAAACCCAATGGTTGGAAACTAAACAACATAATTTCATTATTAATAATAGTAGTCCCAAACTGGAAACTGAATAAACACATTTTGGTATATTTATACAACTGAATATTACTTATCGATTAAAAAATGAACTATCAGACTCAACACATGGATGAGTCACAAAAAAATTTTGTTGAGAGGAGGAAGCGAGATATGAAAGAATATATATCATATGACTTTATATATGTGAAGTTTAAGTACTGGCAAAGCCAAGCTCGTGTAATAGAAATCACAACAGCGGCTGCCTATGGAGACTGGCTGGGAGGTGACATGAGAGGCCTTTCCGGGATGATGGAAATGATCTATACTTTGTTTGGGGTGGTGTTTCTATGGGTGTACACATTTATGAAAATGTATCAAACTATGCTGTTACGATCTCTGCCTTTCACATTAGGTAAATTTTACCCAATTTAAAAAACCATTTAAGAAAATGTTAAGGCACAAGTACTCAGAAAAAGAGAGAATGAAAAATGAATTAACGAGTTAATTTCAGATCCGAAGAGTTCCTTATATATTTGCTGTAACATCAACATGGAAGATATAAACAATTCCCTGAATACTACAAAAGAAAATTTACATACATTAATACTCTTAGTAATTAGATACTAGTAAAATTACAAAGTCACTACAATAATCACAAAGTAAAAAATATGATTTATAATGTTTTCATAGCTAAATATTAATTTTTCTAGTTACTAGTCTCATTTTAGAGTCACCAATGAAAAAAATAAATTCGAATAAACTGAACACAACCAAACCATTTAATTTAACTCAATTTCAAAGGTACAACGGACATTTCAAAAATTACACTAGGTAAAAAGTTAAGAGGTCTTTTCTTTTTGTCAACAATGAGTAAAATGAAACTTCTAGGGCCAAAGAAAGTCCAGCACAGTGGTTATGTCAACCCTTTTCTAAATATTGAAATGCCTGGGTCCCAGCCTCAGAGCTTCTAATTCTCTGAGTCTAGGCCTAGGTGGAGGTTGGGCAGCTCTGTTTTTAAAGAGTTCCACAAATGATGCCAGTGTATAACCAGAATTGGAAACTACTGCTATGTGTTAAGCACAGTACAGTGAATGGTTAAGAGCACAGCTAGCCTGGTTCTGCCACTTAGTAGCTCTGTAAACCTATGCAAATTATTTAATTTTTCTGTGCCTCAGTATGCTCACCCATAATATATGGATAATCTATATCTACTACACAGTTTTGTTGTGAGGAATAAGTTAAAATATGTCAAGTACTTAGAATAGTGCTTGGCACATAGCAAATGGTGATAATGTTTGCTGTCATTATTTTCCATCACAAAACACAAGTCTTATAATGAATGGGGCATACAATTGACTAAGAATTGGTAATTAAGTATCCTTGCTAAAATATTTTTCAGCTTTAAATTTGGGACTAGAGAATTAAGGTTATTTCTAGTCTCCTACGCTTAAGAAACTGGCTGAATTCTATTACATGCATAAAACACTTTCAAGAAGAAACCTGGATATATTCAGGTAAAAATGATATTGAGAGAACTGTAGTAAAGGTTAAAAGGGACACTAAGAGACAAAGGCCCACAGCACGGCACGTAGTGTGTACTCGATATGTTTGTTGAATGTAGAAATGCTAGCTGGATAAAAATGTTAAAAAAAAAAAAAACCAAAAAACCTGGTTTCATTGTAAATTAGATAAAAAATGCCTCCTCTGGTTACTTACCATGCCATATTCACAACTTTTAAAATTATTTTCTCCCAATTCTACTTAGAATCTAAAGTTCTGGATTAGCTATATAAAACACATAATTTTCAATAGTTTACTTTCAACAGGCACTAGAAATAAATATTTTTAGCTCTTAGACAAATTCAAGATTTTTCCTGTGCAGTGGAAAATGAGTTCAAGACAAAGGTCACCATTTGTAATTAATTATAATGTGCAAATTTCCATACACAGTCCTAATCTTCTGATTTACACAAGAAGTCAATTAGTTCCTTGGGAAACATAAAAAGTTATGTCCAAAGGAATATTAAGTAAATATTAAGTAAAAACGGTTGCTACCTTTATACTTAATTTCATTAGGGGGTTTATATTAACCCTGATTTGACCAGTAGTCAATTCAAATGATGTTTTTGTGACTAAACATTACATTCAATTATAAAGTTTGCTTATTATTTTCAATACTACCCCAACTGCAATGATATTCTCAGTTATTTTAAGTAGAAATAGCCACTGCATAGTAGCTTTGCATAACTACCGTAAATGAAAGTTCAGGTTAACATCACTTGACTGAGACCCCAGTGGCAAGGCACATGGCCTAAATCTGGATTCTAATCCATAAAGGAAGGGAGAGAAAAGCAAGGAAAAAAAAATCCAGAAAGGAAGAACTAAAATATGAAATTTATGCCCCCTACTCTAAAGTCTGTTTCAAGCTCTCAGTAGAATTTTAACAGCTGGAAAACCCTGCTCTTAGTCCTTATTCAAACTCTTTGTTACTGCTTACAGGAACTTCCATAACCTGGCCCTTGTCTTCTCCATTTTTATTACTATGTTTCTTCACATTCTATTCCTGTTATAGAGGGAATTTTTTATTTCCTCAATAACACCATGTTCCTTCTAGCTTCTGGGCCTTCTCACATGCTATTCCTCCTACCTAGATAATTCCCTAAAACCTTCCTCGTTAATTCTATTCAGGGAAGCATTTCCTGTCCCACAGATGAGATTAAACCCAACTGCTGAATGTTCTCATAACTCCCTTATATATCTTAGAACTCATCACGTTCTATGATTACTTCTTGTTTAATTCAATCTTCCTCATTAGTCTATACCATTTATGAGTAGAGAAAGTATGTTTTATAATATTTGTAACTGCAATATATAGAGCCTTAAACACAGAAAGCCCTTAATAAGTATTTCCTAGTTGAAGAAGGAGGAGGAGGAGGAAGGGAGGGTGGGAGGAAGAAAGGGAAAGGAAAACAAGAAGAAAGAACAGGGAAAGAGGAAGGACGGATGGACCCAAGGACTGCAGAAGAGAAGTCTACTCTCATATCCCTTAGCACTCCTTGCAGAATTTAGGCCCATGTAAAGAATTCCAAGCTAAAGACTGTGATTCTTGGGTGTGATACCATTTTTTCTCTACCTTCTCACTAATCATGATTTTGGACACAGCTGATCATGGTCCCAGGACCCCTGGCTCTGAAAGATGCAAATACAGCATTTTGTGACACACAACAGACCTCTAATCCCAAGATACCTTCAATATATTTTCTTCATTACTTCTGGCCTCCAAATTAAACACAATCTTGACTCAGTAGATAAAAAGTGAAATTCCCTTTCACCAATTAAAAACTCTGGTTAACATCGTGAGTAATCATTTACTATGTGCCAGTCATTGATCTTGTATCATAACACGCAATATCTTATTTAATCCTCACAACAATCCAGAAGAGACTGCCCACACATTTTTTAAAACGCTAAGAAAGAACGACTGGGGTTAGAACCCAGGCGCAGCTTCAGTGGCCTGGTCTTGATCACCAATGCCTCTTTGGTCTATCTTATGGCAATATAATAGAAAAGAAAAATTTGGATTCCAGACTAATACCTGATGAAAAATGAATGTTTACATGCAGACCATTCATCATAATCTTAGTAACCTGACACCTTGGGATCCACAAGGAAAAACAACACTGGCATTCCACAAATGCAATCAGAACAATACCTGCTGTTCTGAGGCTGCAATGGGAACAGCCAGCAGGATAAATTTCCATCTTGAACTGTTACACTGTCCCTCCTTCATGAGAACTAGAAATATCGATGCTTTTTTTCCTACTCTAAGGCAACTCTCAATTTACCACTTCCCTGAGTGATGCAATTCAACTTTTGTGGGTTTATTGTATTTAAAAGTTAGGTCCACTCATCTTTAAATTGCATAGTTATGTCATTTAGGTAAAACTACAGAATCACAATTTTGTAAACATTATTACCTTATGATTCAAAATAAACTTTAAAAAAATCTGACATTTATGCAATAACTGTAACTTTGGACACTGCATATCTGATGTATTAAGGAATCCAGTATTTTTAAAAAAAATTATGATAATTGTATTATGGTTATGTTTGAAATGAGTGTCATCTATTTTAGAGTTACAAACGAAATATTTACAAAATATATGATATTATGCCTAGGATTTGCTTCAGAATAATAAAGGAGGGGAAGAAAAGTGAGTGGAGATAGGGATGAAACAGAATTGACCATGAGCTGATTACTGGCAAAATGGGGTAATGAGTTCATTGTACTGTTTAGTCTACATTTGTGTGTTTCCAAAAGAACAAAAGACAAAAACCATCCCCACTTAAAAAAAAAGCTGAAGAGAAGCTAAATCTATGCAGGCTTTCCATACTGGTGTTAACAGTGGTCTTTATTACTTTAAATTGATAGTCTTGATAAGACTAAATGAGTTAATGAAAAAAAAACTGGTCAAGTATCCGGGTAGTTTATCACTAAATATAAACTCTGGATGATGAATTACATTTAAAATTTTTTCCAGGCCAGGCGCGGTGGCTCACGCCTGTAATCCTAGCTCTCTGGGAGGCCGAGGCGGGCGGATTGTTTGAGCTCAGGAGTTCAAAACCAGCCTGAGCAAGAGCGAGATCCCGTCTCTACTAAAATTAGAAAGAAATTAATTGGACAACTAAAAATATATAGAAAAAACTAGCCGGGCATGGTGGCGCATGCCTGTAGTCCCAGCTACTCGGGAAGCTGAGGTAGGAGGATCGCTTGAGCCCAGGAGTGTGAGGTTGCTGTGAGATAGGATGACGCCACGGCACTCTAGCCCGGGCAACACAGTGAGACTCTGTCTCAAAAAAAAAAAAAAGAATTTTTTTTCCAGATGTTTGACATAGGATTGAGATACTTTAGATAACATGATTGCAGATATAATTCCACTCTTTGATTTTTTTGTAGGCTAGATCATTCGAACATAAAATTTTGTGTTTATGTTAAGTATTCTAAGTCAATAAAAGCACTCTTATTTTGAAACATTTATTCAGATCATCTGATCTAAAGATGGCAAGTAATATTTTAATAAAAGAGGGGATCAAAACACCTATTTACATACCAAAACACCCTCTATAGTTTATGAGTTATAATAAATAAATAACAAATTTTAAAAGCAAATCTTAAATACTGAATAGGGACAGTATTAAACAACACTAAATTGAATCTGCAACGATGATACAATTTTTGTATTGTGTTACATATTTTGGAGACCAATTTTAAAAAGGGAAGAGTCAAGATATTAAAAACACCATAGTTATAATTGTTCTAATACAAAAGCTTAAAAAAAGTTCTACCATAGAAAAGTTCTTAAACATAAAAAAAAGAAACA